AATCTCAACTTCCTGGGGAGCGTTCAGTGTAAGCTACCATTTATAGGCGCTGAAATACCAACATACTGACAAGATTTTGTACTGTTTATGGCTGGGTACCGTACCCATTCCCACCTGGGTGGAGTGGGAAAAATTCGCGTAAAGTGACTTTCCCAAGAACGCAACGTCTATAGACTAACCACGCCAGGGCGCGCACGTCTGCTGTATATTTTAACTTCCTTGACACGTCTCCATTGCATTTCTTTTCCAATGACGTGGCTACATACAGCTTAATTAATTGTAGTTGTAGATCTCGTAGATCTGGCTACATACAGCTTAATTAATTGTAGTTGTAGATCTAGTAGATCTTTGATGATTTTTTTTTTATGAAACGCCAACCTTCGATTTAAAAACAAATAAAAGAGATAGGCCTAGTGTAATAATATAGAGCGCACAGCCTGCACGCGCAGTTGGTCAAACCTACAACCCCGAGAGCAAACTTGTGCACCGTTAGTTAAGTGAATGAAATATAATTCGTATGACTTCCAGTGGTACTCGCGAGTTTAAATTTGATTCTACAAAAAAGGGGTGGGGTGGAGGGGGGAGGGCCTGAGTATTGAAACTGCGGGTTTGAATTTGATACCTCTTTTCAGGGGGGGGGGGGCAGTCTTTATCGAGAACACCTTTTTTCCTTCTAATTATTCTTTCCACGCAAGTACTTTTTAAAAACTAACCCTATGGAAAAGGAAGTGGGAGAGCAGGGAGGGTGAACGAAGAAATCAGCTAGATCCCCCATGTAGTGACATAACTAAATCAATGATGTCCTATACCCCCCCCCCCTTCCCCCTAACCAGGGCAGTGCTACTGACTGTAAGTAACTTTTGTCTTTAGGCCATTCCCAAAAGGGGTGGGGGGGGGGGTATTAACACGTTCTTAAGCACAGTACAATTATAAATGGGCTGATTTATCAATGCCATGCTCATGCTGTGCCGGAACAACATTGGGGGAACAGCTGCTTTTTCTTTCCTCATCCGAGGTGCCCATTACGGCGCGCCGACCCACCATATTACTATCGTAATTTTTCCACTACTTCTTTTGTACCGTTATGTTTGTCACTGTCACTCTCTTGTGAACTACTATTCCCGGGGTGCCTTGAAAGTAGAAGCAGACTTTGTACTGTTGAGGCTAGAGAAGTGAGTAAAGTAAGCCTGATTACCCGCTTGGACTTCTCTGTTGACATCCACCCCTTGGCGCTCATATATGACCTTATGCCGTTGCGAGCGCCGTAAAACCTTACTAAAACTAACAAGCAGATGATGGCCTCGTCACGAAAAGCGATGCTGTTTTCTATGACTACAGGCGACTCCAGATGAGTTGACGTCGGGGAGTGAAACATAAATCAACCCATCCCAAGTACAACGTAATCGTTGGGACCTGTAAAGAAGAAGAGGGGCTAGGGCCCGAGAAAAAGATCTCAACTTAACTTTAACCGAAGATCAACTCACGCGAGTTCAACAAGACGAGGTCGACTGTACAACGTTGTTCATTGTTATCGTTTCTATTTACTGTGTAGTTGGCGGGTGCTCTGCTATGATTTGCTTCTAAATTCTTTCCCCCTAAACTATCACTGTCAAACACCTATCGTTTTTATTATTTTATCCTCCTTTTTTTGTATCATGTTACTTTCTCGTAACACCTGTAGTCTTCGGCACTGATGTGACCCATTTTGTGTTGCCAGCGCCGTCAAACGTTCACAAAAATTTACTGTAATATTACAGGTTTTTCTCGGGGTGTTTTCGTGAGAGAGAGATTGGTGCCCGTAGAGTACACATGTGTATGT